GATCCGTACTTGTTATGTTACACAAAAAAGGTGATATAAACTCACCCGAAAACTATAGAGGCATTGCTCTATGCAATATTATCTTAAAAATTTTTACCCATATTCTGCATGATCGCCTCTTGCCATGGGCGGAACAACACAATAAAATTCCTGAGTCGCAAAATGGGTTTAGAAAAAAAAGATCATGTACTGATAAATATTTTTACTCTTCAAACAACAATTCAATTACATCTACGTCTAAAAAGTAACTCTGCTTACGGACTTTTTATTGATTTCAAAAGGGCATTTGATTCTATTGACCAGATGCTGCTCTGGCAAAAACTTCATTCGCAAGGTATAAGTTCGCGCCTAATTAAAATTCTCCAATCTATTTACGACAAGGCTTTCTTCGTGATCAAACTTCAACAAAAAGACTCCGATCCTATCTCTGTTACTGAAGGCGTTCTCCAAGGAGAAATTCTCAGTCCTCTCCTTTTCATATTGTTTATTGCTGATCTTGAGAAAGAACTAAGGAATGCAAATATTGAAGGGATCAATATTAATGGTCTACACGATATTTTGATGCTGCTTTTTGCAGATGACGCCGTTGTTCTAGCCAGGTCCCCTATTATTTTACGAAAAATTCTATTAGCACTTGAAAGCTACTGCGAAAAAAACAAACTTGTTGTAAACACGGAAAAAACCCAAATTGTCCACTTTAGAAGAGGGGGAAGACCAATAGCAGAAAATTTCTTTTACAAATGTCAAAAAATTTCTGTCGTGAAGTCCTACACATACTTAGGAGTAAATTTCTCAAGCTCCACATTAGGCAAATGTGCAGCAGAAACTGCCATAAGAAAAGGGAAAATGGCGCTCGGTACGGCAATACAAACTATAAGTAAATTTAAATCTGATTCTTGGGAAGGTCGGGCTAAACTTTTCGACTGTACTGTATCCGTAACACTTTTATATGCATCAGAAGTGTGGGGTCTACGTTACTGTGAATCACTAGAAATCGTTCAATCAACGTACTACAAACGTTTGTTAGCACTCCCCCAAGCTACGAACAATGCAGAACTTAGACTTGAACTAGGCCTTGTAAAAATCTCATATAGAGTTTTCAAACGCGCAATCGATTTCATTATACGAATTCTCCAAATGGACCAATCAAGATATCCCAAACAATGTCTCCTTCGTCTCATTTACCTACACGTAAATAATTCTTCTACAAGTGAATTTAATTGGGTTACACAATTTAATGAGTTTCTTAAAGTTGTAAATATGACAAACTTGTGGAAAACACCGACTGCAGCAACTTGGATTGATAACCGAACTACGGCCCTTGAACGCTATCATAGATATCTTAAATTCAAAGACATTCTAAAATCCGCCAACTCACAATCCATGAATTGCAATTTATTAAGAGCCCTGGATGACAAACCTGCCTGCTACCTCTTTGACCGTAAGCAATTTTTTATGGCAAAGGTTATCGCCCAATTGCGGTTGTCATCAACTCACTGCACTCGTTTTTGTATTAACGGGCAAATTCATAGACTCGAAATCAACAACCTTTGTACACTTTGTAATTTAAAAACTGAAGAAACGTTGAATCACTTTATGTTTGAGTGCCCTATTTACTCCTCAGTAAGAGATCACCATCTTTGTTTCTTACTTACAGTCTTTAGAGACAATAAATCTCTCATTTTCAACTGCATTGATCCGCAATCATCTAAAGCAATATTCACATATATAGTAAATAGTCTTAAAATCAGATCATTTATTATAAACGAATAAGATTTTGCAAAATTACAATTATTTCCCTACTATTTATTTAACTTAACCTTTTTTTTGTTTTTATCTAATATTTTTATTAAATCTAATTAGTAATATTTTTAATTTAAATTAAAAATAAGTATACATCAAACCTCCTTCTGTTACAACTATAAGTTCAGAAGCAGAAGTAAATAAATGTTGAATTGAATGTTGAATTGAAATAATTGGAACAGTTTTACAAATTAGTAAAATGATAATTTAATAAAATTTCTTAAATAATTAAAAATTAAGTTTTTTTAAAACCTTTTTTCGAAGCTCAACATTTTATTAATATAAAAAGCTAATCGTTGTATTTTGTTAGTTTAATTAACAGAAACAAAAAGAACCCTATTAGGAGGATATCACTAACAGACAATTCATCTTCAAACAAAGATAATACTTAAAAAATTACCACAAAATTCTTAGCTTGATTGTTTTTATATAAAACGAGTATTTATTGAAATTAAAAAATTTTATAGAGGTATTATTTAATGCAGTTAAGATACAATTTTCTGCTGTTCTTTTTTTATATATAAATTAAAATTTTTACTTATTCCATCCTTATATTAGTATATCACTACCAATAATAATATGTCCAATTTCAGTTGATGTTACTACTACATTTTCATTTATTCAATCCAAACTAAAAAGAAACAAAATAAAATTAGAATATTTCATTTTATTCATGTACATATTTAAAGTACCGTAATACGAGAATATATATGGGTCTCTTATAAATGGTATGCAAGAAATGGACAGCATAGTCTCAAAGTTTATTTACCAGTGAATTACTAAAAGTAGATATATATAAGCAAACTGCAACTAATTTTAAATTTAAAGATGATGGAAAAGCAATGTTTGATATCTCTGCTTAACATCTAGGCTTAACAATTCTAATATCATTGTAAATATACACTATAGCTACATGATGACAACTATTTTTTTTTATAAAATATTAACAAACTCTTACCATGAGTCTCACCAGATAAATCCATAGAACATTCTATATTGCATACGATTTCTTTGTGCAGAATATAAGTATTAACTATCCATAAAGTATTGAATTTTTCTATATCAAAACTTTTTATCTTGCTAATATACAAGAGAAATAGTTTTTCGCCATCATGACTAACTACACTATTCTCACAGCTTTCACCTTCGCCAGGTAATAACTTGACAAAGTCATATTCTTGCTTAATTTTTATACCATATATAAGCACTTCACCGGTATGTCCGCCTGCGAAAAGTATGTTTGCAGTAGGATGCCAGCGTAACCAATTTAATGATCTCATTGAAAATTGCCACACGTTTAGCAGGAACACAGGATGAAATATGTAGCGTCCTTCTGGTAAAGGAGGTAGTACACTATAAACAGCAACTTCACCAATACAACTACCTGTTCCTAAATACGAGCCATCTTGACTAAACTTTAAATTTGTTAGTTTTTGCTTTACTGAAATGTACTCTAAGCGTGCCATTTCTTTAGTAAGCCATAACAAAGCACCGCCTTCAATTCCGCTGGTAATCGCCAAGCTTAAGTGGGGATGTACATCGCAAGCTATAATTTCAGACCTTTCGTCTTCTATCATGCTATCTTCTTCTATTGGTATATTGTCTTCACCATTAAACATAAATGTGTGAATGTGAATAACTTCATCATCCTCCTCCACAAAACGGTCATCGTGAATAATTTCATCATCGAATTCAGCGTCACCTTCATCTGGAAATAAAAGTTGATTCAGTACGGGGAGTTCCAGTTCATCGTTGTCATCGTCATCATCATTGAATAACTCTAATCTATACCATTTTGGTATATTATCAATCATTATCCGTTTTTATTTTATAAATAATTCACACACAATGCAAATTCTAAAAAAATCAACCAGTTCGAAACTAATTGGAATTGTTTGTTAGACAAGAACTGTCAATTTTTCTCAGGCCATTAATTTTATATAAATAAAGAGTTGCCAATTCTCCATTTAAAAAGTTTAAAAAAAACATTACACCCAATCAAACGTCCATTAAGTGTTGAATACAATGCATGATTTTTTCAAACTTTTGACATACATATATAGGTGTACTCTTTTTACATAAATACTCTAATAAAACACATGGTGCTAAAAATTAACATGCAAAGCAAAAACAAAATTCAAAAAATAACCCCACTTTCCTGAAAACGCTCAACGAATAAGCCACTCGCACTACTATAGTACCAAATCTTAAAGCTGATCTATTGTGAATGATTTTTGTAAAAAAATGGAAAACTGCAGTCAGCTGTTTACAACTGTTACGAGTGTTAGGTTAGTTATTGTGAAGAAGTTAATTATTTATTAAGGATTTTTTTAATTCTGTGTTCATCAAGGAATGCAATACATGAATAAATATAAAACACAATTATTAAAATAAAAGCAAGAAGTCATACGATAACTGCAAGAAAAATAATACAGTGTAAAATGCTGCTTGCTCATTTAGCATTAACTAGTGATATTAGAAGTTTGATTTTTATATAAACGAATTTATTCACGATCTCGTATTGTCTATATGTATATTTATATAAAAAACTTTTTTATGAAATTTAACCTTTAATTTGTTTGAAATTCTTTTACTTATCATATGCTTACTGGTTTGGGCAGTGATGCCAAGTTATTCTTTACCACCAAAAGTTATTCTATTGGAGTGACAATGTCAAAAGAATACATCTTATGTATAAAAACAAAAAAACCAAGCTTTGCTTTTACTGAAGTTTCTATACCATTCACACATAAACATGTTAAAGATTATTCAAAGACATTTACTATTTAGTAACTTTATTATTCACATCTATGAGTAAATATTAAAGTATTAATTTATGTAAAATAGTATATATTAAAAGCAATTTATTTTTAAATGCTAATTTATATGAGCGCTACTAGTGGTATCAAGTCATGTCCTTGCAAAAGTTAAATTCGATTGCTTTAAAACTGATAACTCTATCACTAACAATTTTTAAGCAAATGCACTTTACGAATTGAAGTGTATCTCAAGTGTGTCGGTATAGAAGATATATCAATTTAAAATTAATTTTTCTAGTTATATTTTAATAACTTTTGCGAAAAACTTTAATGTTCGTAAACTTTTTATAAATGCATTAACACTTTATGACATTGCCAATTATCTTACAAAATAAATTTTTCATCTATCAAGCATTATTTAGGTAAACAAACTCTGAAATAAACTCGTTTATCCTCAACACAGAGCTTAATTGATATCAATAGAGAAGATATATTCACAGACCGCTAGTACTAAATACACCATAAAGATTTTAATAAATGCAAGGAGATTCGACCGTTCGTGACCACTTAGAGTTAATCTTAAATACATACAAGTCAAGTATGAATTTAGGTCAGTTGGATGATTAACACTGACTCTGAGCTCCAAATTTGACAGGGCATAAGTTCAACCTTTGACACTTACAGCCTTAATAGAATTATTTACTAATAATTTAATTATAGTAATATTTCCAAAAAGACAACTGATACACATTGTATTTGTAAATACTCGAAACAGTAGTTCACTCAAAATACCTCTAAAAAAATAATTGGTTCTATTGAAAAATACAGTTTCTTTCGTCATATCTGACTTTAAATATCAAATTTATATAATTATTAAATAATATAGTTATACAGTAAAAATTAAATAACTAAATATGGAATTGTCTCAAATTTTATAAATTTTTTACCAAATATTGTTTAATCGATCCTATAAGTAACCATATATCAACATTAAATCTATATTTTAATTAACGTCTGCATAAGGGTCACTCAATTTTATTATTTAGATATCACTCCAGTCTTTAAAACTTAACAGTCGCAGAACAAATAAATACTTGAATCAACAAGTGGCCATTGCCATTTGTTATCGTAGAAGCCACCTCCTGCAACCCATCAAAGCACTAGACTAGTGCGCTTGAGCAAATTTTTAGCGTAAATATCTACTTCTCCCTTCTGCTAATTTTGACAATCACTGATTTTCTGCATGAATTTCACATTTTATTGTATATATGCTTGTATATAATATGTATTGAGGCTGACTTATTCAATTTTCCAAAAGAATATTTTGATAGTCAAACGAATATTTTGATATCACGATTAATAATTTATTCGGGAAATTTGACTTAAATTAAAATAAATTTGAAATTCGATTAAAAGCCGGTTTCTATTAAAAAAAATGATAAAATAATTTAAATAGCATTTAAAAAAAACACAAGAAAGCAGTTTATACAGTAATACTTTAGAAACTGAACTATATTTTTAAATCAATTAATTATATCAAACAAGGATATATGTTAATGTATCAATTGCTATATAATATTAAATAATAAAATTAATATCATAATTTACTAATACTATTATAATTTTCGAAAAATATCGGAAAGGATGAAATCACGGCAGAGTTTTACGGATAAGTTAGACTCCCATAAATATTTACTGTTAATATAAATATATTGAAAAATGTTAACACAGACTATTTTCATATTTTCAGTTAATGAAGTGTTTTCTGAATATCAGTTTGACTGTACTGCTAAATACAATATAATCAAGCAAGTTTATCGAATAATATCATTAGCTAAAAGGTCATTGGAAAATAAGAAGTCATATGTATCCATATTTAAAGATATAGCTCGCGCTTTATATAAAGTATAGCACAAACGCTGATGCCATTAAATATACATCTATTGTATATTCTTAAACAAGAGAATATTTATCTTAGTACAAAAGGATTTTATTTTAAAGCCCTATGTTGCATTTCCCCAAGACAGAAAAATAGTGTCATTACTATATTTACTATAGTTAAGGAATATGTTAATATTCCTTAACGTTAACAAATTAACTAAAACATTTATTAATAGCACAATAAGACTATCACTTGCAAATTCCTTAGAAACTAAAGGTACGTTACAATGAAAAACAATGTCTCTCTACTTGGGCAGTAGATAACAATCAACCCAACAAAAGCCTATGAATGAGAGAGCAAACTAACTGCAAAGACAAGTTACAAATGAAGATATGAAATTCAACAAATTTCTAATTGTTCAAAAGTTCTGATGCTGGTTCTTCAAAAGACAATTACTTTTGACAATTACCTGTAATTAGGAATTGGTTTTTTGAATTACAATTGTAATTCAATCTCAATTCCAATTTCCTGTAATTAGGAATTGGTCTCATTCAGTCAATTCCAATTATAATCCTGCAACTCAATTCCTAATTACTTATTCATGATAATTATAAATTGAATGTACCTAATCTAATTATAAATATTTTCATTACTGCACAGCTCTGATACCAACATGGCCCATAAAAGCCAATGAAGAAAATCGCATTCATATGACTTCTATCCTAAAGTAAGACTACTGTCCCGACATTAAAATCAATTATCAATAAACAAAATAAATGTGTTCAGTAAATGTCTTCAAGCAACTACGTTAAATAGTTATAGAGATTTCTAAAAAAGACATTGTCGAAGAGTAATCTTAACAAAACGTCAAAAAAGATTCAAACTAACTTAAAACTAATTTCATTGTTTTGTTTAATAGATGTATCATGTAAATTAACAGTTGTATACAAAATATGAAATTCAAAATATAATTGGGAAATAAAACCCTTTTGCAGTAGCTGTCCGTTAAAATATGGGAATCCGGTATTAAATGCTTAAAAGTTAAAAAGAATATATTCAAATATTTTCAGGATGTTGACAGATGCGCCATGTTTTATAAAAATATTAACTTTCACAGAGATTTAAGAGTATCATTGGTGATAAAAGATGTTCAATAGGGAAGGCAGAACTTATTTAATTTTAAAGAACAGACCAATATCTTCATATACAGACTTTAGCTAAGTAAAGGCTACAAATTTCTCCAAATGAAAATATAGAAGAAATTTTATATCAATATTTATTGTTATATTCAATATGAATGATTCAATGAATAAAACAAATATATTAAAACATATATTGTTATGCACTCATCCCAGTTCAATACAGTTAGAATTAAAGAAAGATATTACTTATGTACTGCGCTAACTACTGTACTTCACGCTATTGGACTACAATGGAAGTAATCAGTTACTGTAGCAACTGACTGTAGTCAATCCTATTTTATATCTTAATGGATCTTTATTTTTGTCATCAATATTTGATGTACTTTAATGATAGCAAAGTCAGCCGATAGAGCTATCTTCTTTTGTGCAATGTAATTATATACAATATATATATTTCTTTATTATGTTCTAATAATATATGAAATTCAAAACTTTATATGAATATATAAAATATAAATGACTATAAAATATTATCTGTGCCACAAACTTTTATATGCATACGTATTGTTTATTGCTATATACACTAAATTTTAATACATTAAACTTGCAGGGTAAATATGTTTGTTTGATGGTTCTATTTAATGTGATAAAAATAATAATTATATACTATAACCAAAAGTGCTTTTCTTTTTATTATTTAATACAATTATAAATTTAGAAAGCAAATAGTGAGGAAATTTTTAAATTCGTTTCATGTTCATAATATTTATAAAAATCACATCAATGAGTCGTATGATATTTTTGGTCTTATAGGATCCTTTCTTTCGATCATTTTTCTTTTAACAAGCACAATCTCTTTAAATCTTTCCACGTTTCAACATAGATGGATATGTTGGGACGCCCAGACCTCCCACCATCTGTAATGTCTTTTATATCTTTATTAAATCGTTTGTAGCAATCATAAATTGGTATTTTAATGAGTATTGTCACTATAAGATTTATAACCATGAATGCTTTGTTGTATATAATTCGGTTTAAGTTAATTCTAAACATTTTCAGCAGTTATAATACATAATGACTACATTATGCGCTCAACCAATTTCATCACATTTCCTTCATTATCAGTCCTAAGAGAATTCTTTCCAAAATTTCTTTCGCTAAGTTGAGGCACAGGAGCACAAGCAGAGAAAGCAGTCTA